TGCCACACACGTCAAACCTCAAGCCGCTCGTTAGATATACAGTGCAGCCGCGGTCTCTTCATACTTTCCACTTGCTGTCGGTCTTACACAGGGAACACGCTTCCACCGGGTGGGGGCGCAGGGCGGTGGTCTCATCTCTATGATGTAACCTGATCAAACACCAGGGGTGTTGGTAGACCCTTGCACTCATGGCACCTGCCCCGGGTCTTCTACTGTCTGCCCACATCTTCTACCATGTGCTTAGGGTCTTCCAATAGGTTCCCTGGGTCTCCCACGGAGTGCCCCGGGTCTTCTGATCTTCTACGGAGTATCTTGGATCTTCCACTGAGTGCCCCCGATCTTCCACTGAGTGTCCCGGGTCTTCTACTGAGTGCCCCCCGTCTTCTACTGAGTGCCCCCCGTCTTCTACTGAGTGTCCCCGATCTTCTACTGAGTGCCCCCCGTCTTCTACTGAGTGCCCCCCGTATTCTACTGAGTGTCCCCGATCTTCTACTGAGTGCCCCCCGTCTTCTACATATAGGACAGACAGCGAGAGATGAGAGATAACTCGGCACTCCGGATGTGCACGGCATGCCCAGCGAACATTTCATTACACTGACGGATTCCAGGGATCGAAATGTCGCATTTCTATTAAAGGAGCTCTATGGGGGGGGAGGGGGGATTTACGCTCATAGTTCGGGGCGACGTGTGACAGTGAAACTGTCACAGGTCGGCTCTTTAGATCGGGAACACATACGGGCGCTCGCTCACTTCTCGATCCTGTCCCTGCAGAGACACGTGACTTTCACTCACGGCTCCCTGCAGGGATTCCCCCTCTCCGATCCTCCAGCGCTGACTGGTGGAACGGACGGGGGAGGGGGCGGGTACAGCTGTCTCCGCCTCTAGATAGGCAGAGCCAGCTGTCACTCACGCAGCTGGGCGGATCCAGACACAATTGCCGGGATCCGCTCCGGCTGCGGCGTCTCAGAATACCGCGAGCTGTAGCTCCCTATATACTGAGCCTAGGGTGACGGGAGGACGCTAGTTTGTGTCCCCATGTGACCCCGAGGAGGACTATGGGGAAAAGCCCTGACCCCCCCACCCCCATAGTTCTCCTTTAATGGAGGATCTGGATCTTGTTGCTGCTCATCTGCTCCGCACTATAACCAGTCACTATAAAGGACCGAGCATCCTGGCTCCCTGTACAGAGGACGCGTGCTCTCCTGATATACCGGGAACCCTTTCATGGAGGAGGAAGAGGAAGAGGAGGAGGAGGAGGAAGAGGAGGAGGAGGAGGAAGAAGGAGGGGAATGGGAAGAGGAGGAAGGGGAAGAAGAAGAGGAGGAAGGGTAAGAAGAGGAGGAAGGGAAAGAAGAGGAGGAAGGGGAGGAAGGGAAAGAAGAGGAGGAAGAAGAGGGGGGAAGAGGAGGAAGAAGAGGAGGAGGAGGGGGAAGAAGAGGAGGAAGGGGAAGAAGAAGAGGAGGAAGGGGAAGAAGAAGAGGAGGAAGTGGAAGAAGAAGAGGAGGAAGGGGAAGAAGGAGGAGGAAGGGGAAGAAGAAGAGGAGGAAGGGGAAGAAGAGGAGGGGGAAGAAGAGGGGGAAGAAGAAAAAGACTTGGAGTCGTTCCTCAAGAACACAGATTGGATCTAGAGAAGAGCGCGAGTTCCCGGAGATCACGCGGCAGCCGCATATCAATCACGCGCGCTGCGCCTCGGTGAATGTTCTTCTACGAGGGAGAGATTTGTATTCCTGGATCCTCCGCGCTGCAGACTCGGGAACTCAATTATTGAGCAGTTTATACATAATTCAGAGCTTCTCGCCTGCACAGAGGACTCCGGAGGACTGAACGCCGCCATTCAAGGAGTTCTCCTCGTACTCTATGAAGTTTGTTGCTAACCGGCTGAAGTATTCGTTAGACTCCCAACAAACGGGGCTTCAAAATTCAAGGGGCCCCCCCAGCCAACACAGAGGAGGCCCCTTACTGGAAGCAGAACTGGAGTCATGTTAGTCTCTCCGGCAGGATATTGGACCTCGTTGATTCTGCTAACTTCCTGTCTTAGTGACTACACTGAGGGCCCATTCACACCACATCCACATCATCCCCAGACCAGATTGTTCCCGGACCCGGACAGCGCGGCCACACTATAGTATACGGCATATATACCCGACCACAAGAAAACAAACTCGGCACAACTTGTTACATTGTATCAAATGATTGGAAAACAAAGATTGTGACTCCCGTGTAGATCGGCCTCACCTGCCCAACTTCTCCAGCAGTTCATAGAGGTCCTCCACGTTCTCGTGCTTGAAGGAGCTCATGTTGGGGTTAAACACTTCGTCCTCCAGATTCAGAAGCTCCTCCTCATCCCCCGAGAGCTTTATCTCCCCTTCAGAAGACTTTCAGAGAGAAGAAAGAGGAACAAAAATCAATACAAGGCACCGAGATTGCCGATCCTAGACCTGGAGATACCGGTCAACGGTTGGCCCGGGGTCATTGCCGATCCTAGACCTGGAGATAGCGGTCATCGGTTGGCCCGGGGTCATTGTCGATCCTAGACCTGGAGATAGCGGTCATCGGTTGGCCCGGGGTCATTGCCGATCCTAGACCTGGAGATAGCGGTCATCGATTGGCCCGGGGTCATTGCCGATCCTAGACCTGGAGATAGCGGTCATCGGTTGGCCCGGGGTCATTGCCGATCCTAGACCTGGAGATAGCGGTCATCGGTTGGCCCGGGGTCATTGCCGATCCTAGACCTGGAGATAGCGGTCATCGGTTGGCCCGGGGTCATTGCCGATCCTAGACCTGGAGATAGCGGTCATCGGTTGGCCCGGGGTCATTGCCGATCCTAGACCTGGAGATAGCGGTCATCGGTTGGCCCGGGGTCATTGCCGATCCTAGACCTGGAGATAGCGGTCATCGGTTGGCCCGGGGTCATTGCCGATCCTAGACCTGGAGATAGCGGTCATCGGTTGGCCCGGGGTCATTGCCGATCCTAGACCTGGAGATAGCGGTCATCGGTTGGCCCGGGGTCATTGCCGATCCTAGACCTGGAGATAGCGGTCATCGGTTGGCCCGGGGTCATTGCCGATCCTAGACCTGGAGATAGCGGTCATCGGTTGGCCCGGGGTCATTGCCGATCCTAGACCTGGAGATAGCGGTCATCGGTTGGCCCGGGGTCATTGCCGATCCTAGACCTGGAGATAGCGGTCATCGGTTGGCCCGGGGTCATTGCCGATCCTAGACCTGGAGATAGCGGTCATCGGTTGGCCCGGGGTCATTGCCGATCCTAGACCTGGAGATAGCGGTCATCGGTTGGCCCGGGGTCATTGCCGATCCTAGACCTGGAGATAGCGGTCATCGGTTGGCCCGGGGTCATTGCCGATCCTAGACCTGGAGATAGCGGTCATCGGTTGGCCCGGGGTCATTGCCGATCCTAGACCTGGAGATAGCGGTCATCGGTTGGCCCGGGGTCATTGCCGATCCTAGACCTGGAGATAGCGGTCATCGGTTGGCCCGGGGTCATTGCCGATCCTAGACCTGGAGATAGCGGTCATCGGTTGGCCCGGGGTCATTGCCGATCCTAGACCTGGAGATAGCGGTCATCGGTTGGCCCGGGGTCATTGCCGATCCTAGACCTGGAGATAGCGGTCATCGGTTGGCCCGGGGTCATTGCCGATCCTAGACCTGGAGATAGCGGTCATCGGTTGGCCCGGGGTCATTGCCGATCCTAGACCTGGAGATAGCGGTCATCGGTTGGCCCGGGGTCATTGCCGATCCTAGACCTGGAGATAGCGGTCATCGGTTGGCCCGGGGTCATTGCCGATCCTAGACCTGGAGATAGCGGTCATCGGTTGGCCCGGGGTCATTGCCGATCCTAGACCTGGAGATAGCGGTCATCGGTTGGCCCGGGGTCATTGCCGATCCTAGACCTGGAGATAGCGGTCATCGGTTGGCCCGGGGTCATTGCCGATCCTAGACCTGGAGATAGCGGTCATCGGTTGGCCCGGGGTCATTGCCGATCCTAGACCTGGAGATAGCGGTCATCGGTTGGCCCGGGGTCATTGCCGATCCTAGACCTGGAGATAGCGGTCATCGGTTGGCCCGGGGTCATTGCCGATCCTAGACCTGGAGATAGCGGTCATCGGTTGGCCCGGGGTCATTGCCGATCCTAGACCTGGAGATAGCGGTCATCGGTTGGCCCGGGGTCATTGCCGATCCTAGACCTGGAGATAGCGGTCATCGGTTGGCCCGGGGTCATTGCCGATCCTAGACCTGGAGATAGCGGTCATCGGTTGGCCCGGGGTCATTGCCGATCCTAGACCTGGAGATAGCGGTCATCGGTTGGCCCGGGGTCATTGCCGATCCTAGACCTGGAGATAGCGGTCATCGGTTGGCCCGGGGTCATTGCCGATCCTAGACCTGGAGATAGCGGTCATCGGTTGGCCCGGGGTCATTGCCGATCCTAGACCTGGAGATAGCGGTCATCGGTTGGCCCGGGGTCATTGCCGATCCTAGACCTGGAGATAGCGGTCATCGGTTGGCCCGGGGTCATTGCCGATCCTAGACCTGGAGATAGCGGTCATCGGTTGGCCCGGGGTCATTGCCGATCCTAGACCTGGAGATAGCGGTCATCGGTTGGCCCGGGGTCATTGCCGATCCTAGACCTGGAGATAGCGGTCATCGGTTGGCCCGGGGTCATTGCCGATCCTAGACCTGGAGATAGCGGTCATCGGTTGGCCCGGGGTCATTGCCGATCCTAGACCTGGAGATAGCGGTCATCGGTTGGCCCGGGGTCATTGCCGATCCTAGACCTGGAGATAGCGGTCATCGGTTGGCCCGGGGTCATTGCCGATCCTAGACCTGGAGATAGCGGTCATCGGTTGGCCCGGGGTCATTGCCGATCCTAGACCTGGAGATAGCGGTCATCGGTTGGCCCGGGGTCATTGCCGATCCTAGACCTGGAGATAGCGGTCATCGGTTGGCCCGGGGTCATTGCCGATCCTAGACCTGGAGATAGCGGTCATCGGTTGGCCCGGGGTCATTGCCGATCCTAGACCTGGAGATAGCGGTCATCGGTTGGCCCGGGGTCATTGCCGATCCTAGACCTGGAGATAGCGGTCATCGGTTGGCCCGGGGTCATTGCCGATCCTAGACCTGGAGATAGCGGTCATCGGTTGGCCCGGGGTCATTGCCGATCCTAGACCTGGAGATAGCGGTCATCGGTTGGCCCGGGGTCATTGCCGATCCTAGACCTGGAGATAGCGGTCATCGGTTGGCCCGGGGTCATTGCCGATCCTAGACCTGGAGATAGCGGTCATCGGTTGGCCCGGGGTCATTGCCGATCCTAGACCTGGAGATAGCGGTCATCGGTTGGCCCGACGTCATTGCCGATCCTAGACCTGGAGATAGCGGTCATCGGTTGGCCCGGGGTCATTGCCAATCCTAGACCTGGAGATAGCGGTCATCGGTTGGCCCAACGTCATTGCCGATCCTAGACCTGGGATTGGGACGGGGCCATACAGAGCTGCGGAGAGAGATATCAGAACCGAGGTTCTTTTCAAGGTTCCTCGGATCTCACGCCTCAGAATCATCTCAGCAGATTTGTGTTTCATGGAAAGCGGAACAACAAAACTGCCGCGAGATGATGGGAAGCACATTGTTACTATGGCGACGTCATCAAACAGCGTGCGGCTCGAGTACGACAGCAGATGTTCAGCGTTCACCGTGACTGCGGTCCTTGAAGGACGCGTTTCTGGTCACAGTATCTGGAAATGGATCTCTATGGGGGGGGGAGCTGGATGGACTTGTGTCTTTTTACAACCTGACTAACGATGTAACCATGATGGAAAGACCGGACATTGCGCAATAACCATGATGGAAAGACCGGACATTGCGCAATAACCATGATGGAAAGACCTGACATTGCGCAATAACCATGATGGAAAGACCGGACATTGCGCAATAACCATGATGGAAAGACCGGACATTGCGCAATAACCATAATGGAAAGACCGGACATTGCGCAATAACTATGATGGAAAGACCGGACATTGCGCAATAACTATGATGGAAAGACCGGACATTGCGCAATATTCGGGTTCTTCGACGTTCCTCGCCTTATTTTCGGCGTCTCCCGAGTCCCGATTGATCCATTGTGTGCGCTGGAATTCTGCCGGGCCGGCCGGGTGAACTTTAGACGCAGCTGGAATGTATTTGTTGTTCGGCGGGTGACGGAAGGCCCGTGACGGCATGGAACGCTTGGACATTTTCCAGTGTACACATTGGATACAATAAGAGCATTTATAGGCTCACGAGGACGGGGTCAGGGACATTTGTTCTCTATCTAGGAGGATGAATTATTGGCTTCATGGGCCTTCAGGAGTAGAACTGGACTAGAACCGGTTGGAGAATGGACGCTTGGGTACAATCCAAATCTCAACTCTCAGAGCAGCCGAATGTTTCATGGACAGCTGTGTGCTCTGCTATTCACTTGTATTCTCTCCCCGTTAGCTCTGCATGAGATATCTACTCTTCACATCACCCCAATTCCTGCACCTTCACCCCTCAGATCCCCCCAATTCCTGCACCTTCCCCCCTCAGATCCCCCCAATTCCTGCACCTTCACCCCTCAGATCACCCCAATTCCTGCACCTTCAGATAATGATAATGGGGGGGGCAGGGGGGGAACGCCACTAACCGGTCTTTGCTGTTCAGTCAGGAAAACAAAAGACCCGACTTCAGGGAAGCTGAAATCCCTGGAATGCTGAGGGGAGGGGGGGCAGCACAGGGTCAGGCTAATCTCGCCCCGGGGCCGGGGACCGGATGAATGGTACCTGTCAGGGACGGGGTGTGACCGGCATTCTCACACGCTACAGTGTGCTACTATGGGGGCGGAATGAATGGAAACTGCCACCAAGCATCAGGGACCAGCACCAGCCAAGACTATCTGCATGGAGTTTGTCTGTAGTCCCTGTGCCCCAGGAGGGGGAACGACCTGAACAATGAGCTCCATATTCTGACCAAATCGAGAACTGATCATTAGAACAGGGGTCCCCGTATTATGTACAAGGTTATAGATTGCATCCGTCCCCCCCTCATCTGCCCCTCTCATCCGTTCCCCCCACATCCGTCCCCCCCTCATCTGCCCTCTCATCCGTCCCCACTCATCTGCCCCGCTCATCCGTTCCCCCCACATCTGCCC